TTAAACAATGAGAGTTGACTCTTCCTCTTCTTGTTTCCTGCCCCTTACTCACTATCCCCCCTTTCCCTAACTCAACCCCTCGTTAAAAGTTTTAAAAAAGAAAAAAAGGCCAACACAAATAATAAGTAACTAACTGTGCCAATTCATCGCTATATTAATTTACATGTATGTTTTATCACCATTCCCAAGCCTTTGTTTGGTTTTTAGACTGTAAGCCCACCAAGGCCTGAATTCTCTTTTTGCATGTGTGTGTCTGAGCATTTGTATGATGGCCAGGACAACGGGGCCTCAGTCCTTATTGAGGCCTATGGGCAGTACCATAATATATATGTTTTGATAATAAGGTGTCTCAAGGAGCTGTTCAGCTTATTGTAGGATTAGGCCCATAATAGAAATCATTATTTTCTTAATTTCACATATCAGAGTATTCCTGTGCCTTGTATTTTATATACCCTGGTTACATAGAGGATACCACAACTCTAAATCAATGCATATTAATTGGGCCACTTGATTTTTGAAATATAAAGATAATAGCCCTCATCATGCCAATCAGAAATGGATATTTCACTCATTATCTGTGTTTAAATGTAATTTATTTACTTTACTGTTACAAAACATATAATTAACTGACAGATATGGGTTCAGAGGCAGTTAATATGCAGCTTTGAAAGAACATTTTTTGTTGGGAAACCCCACAGTTGATGGTCACTTTCTTTTCAATTTTCTATAAATGTCTCTACTGTGCAGCTAAAAATGGAATGAACACAGAGAAAACATGTAATCACACTTATTGAACATATTTCATTTTCCATGTCAACCTTAAAAGTATGTTTTTTTCCTAGGTTGAAGATATGCTCGAAGAAGTGATTGAGCGATAGTTGTAATCCACAAGGAAATGATGAACAGGGTATCAGAAAATATCTGGATATTTATCTGTTCTCAATGTTTTGTATAAAGCACTGTGAAATAAACAGCAATTAATATGGAAGAAGGTGGTTGAATCTATTTTCTTGCTGTACGTGTTTTATTCTGAAGACTAGCAGAAAGTGTGTTTAACTGATATTTCACCTTTGCATAAAATCAGTGTTACTGTTTCAGAGTTAATGATTTTTCATTTTTAACAAATCATTGTGCTTTTGAGATTCTCAGTTATTCTGAAAGGTGGAGTTCAAATAGCACTGTCTCTGAATTGTTATATGTAGCAAATTGCTGAAGTCATTAACTAAATCATTTCAGTCACTAACCTTTAAAAGTAGAGAAAATAAACCATATGACTTACATAAGTGTAGGGAGTTCACTTAGAAAAAGTGAATCATGCTTCGTGAAAGAAGAGCACTTACAGTTGCAATCTAAATATAAATGCTAAAATGTGCATTTCTGGGTTTTTACCTTGTGAATATTGTACATTGAAAATAATTTCTTCTTATAAGTCTTGTTTGAAATTCCACTTGGTTTTGGAAAAGTTGCTTCAGGAGCTACTGCAACTCACGTTTACACATCTGCATGCAAGCTTGAAGTCATTCCTAGAGCACTAGTGTGCTTCTCCAGTCCTGTCTGCTCTGCAAGATGCACACTGGGTTCATTGCCCTATAGTATTTGGGCCATAAAACATGTAGCTGATAAATACTATTATGGTAGATTGTTAGTTTTATGCCTTGAGGTTGGATAATAAACTGCAATTCCATTCTTACAAATGATCTCTTATCAATAGGATACTGAACCTCTGCAGACGAAGGTAGTGCCCCACTGCTCGTGTGTCAATTCAAAATACTTCATTATCATGACAAGTTAATCAAAGTGCTGATGAGGCAGAAATACTTAGAATTTCTCAAAGGTATATGTGATATACCAAGCATCTTCCTAGGATGGGACTTGAAAGTATGTTCAGGATTCAGTTTCCTGCCACTACTTGGTCATTGTCCATTCTGTATTTGTTGTTGTTACTGATTCCATGTGTGAGCTAATGATTCTGTGGTCATTTAGTTTACAGCAAAGAAAAAGGAGAGGATTCCAGAACTCTCACCCTGAAACTTCATCGGTCATGCATCTTTATTGCTATTGTACCTTTGTCCCTTTCCCCGTTCAGCCTCTTTTACTAACAAGGAAGGTTGTGGTTTAGGTATTTGACCTCATGGCTTATACTAAGTCTTTGTAAGTACTGTATTTTGAAACAGCCAATGAGAATTATGTCTTTGCATGAGGAAATTGACCAGCATAACTATTCTGGAATAATTCCTCCTGTGGACACTATTCTGGAATAAGTGATTTTATTTTCAAATAATTACTTGGCTCTCTGAGAGTAATTTTCACTGATATGTAATATAGTTAAATGTTCCCACAGTCCAGTTTTTGCTGTTGTAAAACAGATTTTCATCCCATAAGCTTAGTGAGTTATGTCTATTTAAGTATTACGCTATTTCATCCCTTTATATACCAGTCCACCCCTAAAGATATCACATGTTCCCTGAGATGGATGGTGACTCAGAAGTCTTAAACTGATATTTGGTGGTCTGTAATTAAGATGTTTTTGCATTAAATGATAAAACATTTCAAGACCTCTAAATATATATGTAAGAGAATGGTTTCCTCCTATTTAAAGGCTGCTTAGAAAGGGTAAAAATGGGTCTGAGGGTTTTTTGTTTTAAAAAACGCATTTATGATGTAGAGAGAGTGTGAAATGCTTTTTTCATTTAAAAGAGAAAAAAGGAGTAGGGTTATGGTTTCTACTTGATTTTTCTTTACTGAATTAAGTCTTCCCTCCCTTTTGATGATTAAGGGTTTGTCTTTCTTAGAAAAATTACAGTAGGTTAAATGCATCAATTTTTAATTTATCTATTAGACTGGGGTGCAAATGGTTAATATAATACCTAGACCTTATACAGTGCTTTACACAGGATCATTATCCCCATTTTACAGATGGGGAAACTGGGGCAGAGAGGTGAAGTAATTTGCCCAAGATTGCAGAGTAGGGAATAGAACCTAGCTCCAGGGTCCTAGTCCCGCACCTAATCCAGTGGATCACGCTACCTGTAGATGCATGTAACCATTTGAAATCAATTAATCTGTTTAAGTGTGATTTAAACTAGTTAAGTGCATTGATATTATTAAGAGTTTGAACCAATGTAACTAGATTTAAAATCTATCTGGTCACACACCAGTGTATACATCTAAACTAGTCCAGTCTTAAAAGAATTGCAGTGGAAGCACTTGAAGGAGCAAGGATGCTTTGTCTCAGAGAAAACTCAAACAGCTAGAATAAAAACTAAATAGGTGCTAACATCAAGAAATTAATCAGACCGGATTAAAATAATTTCCCCTTTCAGTCAATCAGGTTCTTATTTCCTTTAAACCTCTGTTGGCATACCTACTACACCTCTACCCCAATATAATGCGACCCGATATAACATGAATTCGGATATAACGCGGTAAAGCAGTGCTCTGGGGGGGGGTGGGGCTGTGTACTCCAGCAGATCAAAGCAAGTTCGATTATAATAAGGTTTCACCTATAACACGGTAAGATTTTTTGGCTCCCGAGGACAGTGTTATAGCGGGGTAGAGGTGTATTTTTGCAGTCAGCCACCAGGCCTTTTATGAAATTGTCAGACAAAACCTGAATTTCTGTAGGAGGAACAAACCTTTTTGGGGGTATGGAAAGGGCTTTAAGTTTGCTTGATTAATCACAGAGCAACAAAGGGTACAGAACTATTTTGTTTCCTTTGCAGGTCATAGTTAAGGACCTGATCCTGTGGCCCTTATTTGTGTGAGAAGCTCTATTGCCTTAAATGAAGACTACTCAAGCCTACTGAAAATTCCAGCAACTCCTTTGTGATTATCCAGCTCATCGCTGTTTCTTTCAATCAGATACAGGCATAGAAACCAGCAGCTGTTACCCTGTTCCTAACATACCTCTGAACCTGCCAAGACCCAAACTTAGGACACAATGTGTGACAAAGACTTGCAATATAAAACTTATGCATGAAATTTAAAATGCTATGGGATTCTTTACTTTACTAAAATAACCTTTATTTTTATGTATATTTTCCACAAAGAGAGAGGACACCAAATTTGTGTGAAATGTAGAAAAATGGGACTAAAATGAGTGATATCACTCAAAATGAGGGACATTGGGGAAAGATGATTCTCCAGTGAAAAATCTTCAAATGAACTTCCATTTTGGGCCATTTGCAAGGGCTGCTGGATCAACCCCTAAAATTGACCATCAATGTCTTTCAGCATTCACAGAAGCCTGACCTAGCAGGGATTAATCTTGTATGCATTTTGGAGCATAGATCTAGATCATATTCTATTCCTTTTAATTACAGGTTGGTGTTTATGAGGCAGCATTGGTCCCTACACTAAAGTGATAGAAATAAATTTGACTTCTGCTGAAGGTGTGGAGTTCTCAAACATAATAAAAGTTTGACTATGCGGGTTGAGAATTGGTAGTATGGGGCCCAGCTTGAAGTTCTGCTGTGACAATATTTAGCTCAAGGATAGCCAATCTGTACAGACAGATGCTTTTGAATGGACCATGAAATCTTTTTATTTATTTGTTATTTTTCTGAGTCTGAACCTTGACTATACCTTGACCAAGAAATTTAGGCCTTGACAAAAAATAATTGATTACCTTTGATTTAGCTGATGGAACATAGTACTGCTCATGCTACTGTGGCCTAAATAGCAATCATAGGGTGGGAAACTTTCAAACAGTATGTTTTGTTTCTCTAGCACTAACTGCAGCAGAGGATTAAAATAAAATGAGATACAAAACTGGAAAGACAGCAAAACCCTTCTTCACGATAAGAGAACCTATGGTCTTCAAGAATCTTGCATTCCTGGCTTTTAAATCAGCTAGACCCGACTAGCAAAATCCTTCATCGCAAACGTGAGAGATCCCTTGTGTGCCGAAGGATTTGTGTGTGCGCATTACTCAGATTACAACTTTTTTTTTAACCTCTCCTTTAATCACCCCAGCCCTTTAGTTATGTAAATGACTCCCAATGGGAGAGCTCCCAATTCCTCGGGGACTGGTAGGTCTGCACAGTCCGTGGCTCGTGACTCAGCCTTCTTGGGGTCATTTCACGGACAGCAGAGGGGAGGGAAAGGACCTGAGGTCCGAGTCAGGAGGAAGGGATGCTGGGCCCTGGTTGGAGAGGTGCGGCCTGGCCCCGGGAGGAGGAGAGTGGGCCGGGTCTGCCTTCTCTCTCCCCTCCCACCTGCTCCCTCCCACTCACGCGGAATCGCTGCCTCCTTCCCTCGCTTGATCCCGCAGCTCCGCTCGGCAGCCGGGTGAGCTCTGCCCAGTCGCCCCGTGCAGCCGCCGCAGCGCAGCCAACATGTACGTCTGCAGGGCTGCCTGGCAGGCGCTAGCCGCTCGCTTGGCCAGCGTGTCCTCCACTGCCACCCTGCTCAGAAAGCATGGTAAGAGCGACAGGCAGCCGGGGAGCCGAGCGCGTGGGGACGGGGCACGGACGGGCTGAGCTGCAGGGCAGGCGGGGGTAGAGGTCAGACAGCAGCGATTCATGGTCACGGCTCCGTTAGGTCACCTGCAGCCCCCGGCTGGGCGAGGAGGTGGAATCGCGCTGGTGAAGGGCGCCCCGCGCGTGCCTGTTGTTGAAATGCCCTGGGAGAGGAGACGTGAAGGTCACAGGTGGGGAATGGAGCCCAGCCCAGCCGTGGGTCAGTTACAGCTCAGCCTGGCCATCCCCCTGCCAGGTCCTGCAGAGGAGGAATGCCAGGCAGAGGCAGGAACGAAACAACCGGCTCCAGGCCTGGAAGCTGCTCCTTTGACATATCTAGGTGTCGCCCGTCTCTCTCTGTACCGTTGCTATTTGCCTGACCAAGAGGTGTCGTTCAAGCTTGAGCTACCGGATCCCTCTGCGCTGATTTTTATTTCTGTGTCGTGCTGAACACTGGGGGTGGGCTATTTTTTGCTGAAGAAGAAAGGGGGGGGCACGAGTCTATAAAAATGCCAACTGAGCATTGTGAGCGTGTTGTGCAATTGAAGCCAGACGTCCTCAGTCTGCGCCCTACAGGGATCCTGCATGTAACCAGCTGACACAAATACAGGAGATCGCAAACAAGGTCCAACGATTTTGTGAATAATTTGGAGCTCTGAATGTGGCTGGGTTAGAATAACGAACGAGAACGGAATTTTCATGCGGTTCAGCACCAAAAGCTGCTGCCTCCAGTCACGGTTGATCCATTTCATTTGTTGTTCCTGAAAATTTAAACGCATTGCAATAAGCTGTGTGTTTATCTGAGTGTATGTACTTACTCTGTTAGGTTATAGTTGGGCCTTGTAACCTTATCTTTCCCCCATATATGTTTCTAAAGTCCATGTAATGTTATCTTAGAAGAACAAAACTTTTTAATTTTTTAAAGGTAATGATTAATACACTGCAGCAACCGCTGCAATGGTGCTTCATCAATATTTATGCAAAGTAAGAATATCCATCAGATTCCTGCACCAAGAGAAGAGTCAGAATAGCATGTGATGAGACAAATGCTGCTAGACATAATCTGGCACATGATGGTAATAGTTTATTACAGAATGAGGCTATTGAGTCTTCTTACAGCCACTGGTGTGTATACAGCTGCAGAAACGACTGGACAATATACATATATTTTAAATTGCAATATATCCTATGAATATATGATTAAATTGCTGCGGGCTGGAGTCCGTTTTGCCTCCCTAAATACCCTAGTTACAACTCTGATGACAGAACTGCTTTATATTTAATGAAAGATCGTTCAGGAACATAACACTTAGTATACATTATTAATTTGGGGTGCAGTTACAGAGTGCAGTTAAAATCTTCATTAGGTCACAGTAGTATGTATGTTTTTTTCTAAGCTCTATTTGACATTTAAACTGATGTGCAATAGAATTCCTTGGCATTGCCTATTGGATCTACATCTGGGTGAGCATCAAACCACCAGAATCAGACAAAAACAAACCCAGCCAACAACACTACTGTGCCCCAAAACAAAATAAATTTCAACCACTACTGATAACGTGGTGTAATACCCCACCCTTTCTTAACCCTTCCCAAATGCCTGAGAGACAGGGCCTCGTGGGATGTCCCAGACCAGGACTCCTTGGAGTGACCTCCAAGTTTGAGCTATTGGGACCAGGAATATGTAAATCTAAAGACAAGGACTCCTCCCAGAGAATGCCCAGCCAGTAATCCTTCCTCTTTAAAGTGACAGGGCTAAGTGCCTCTGTTGATCATAACTATGGCAGAATCACACAGGGACAGAGTCATTCTCACACATAGGTATATCCCATTTAGGGCTTTATAGATTAAATTAATAGACAGCCAGTGCACATTATGGACCACACATGTAATGTTCTCATGGTGAGATACTCCACTTAGCAAGTGCGGAGCTACATTTAGTTAAATAAGTACTTGCTTAATTTTCTTTGTTTTTGCCAGCTGACTTTGTTTCAAGTTTCTACAGATTCATCACTCTGCATCTCAGGTTAGATGATATTTTCTGTTATTTTATTAGCACTTTATTTTAACGTTATTTTAATGTTTTATACAGCACCTCTTCGCCAGATGTCATCTGGCAGCGTCCCTGGCTCTTCTGGGGAGAACCTGATTTACTATCTGTTTGCTGGTGTGGCGTGCACTGCTGGTGGATATTATGTAAGTGCCTCATGTTTTAGGAGTATATGAAAGACGCAGTTAACATCAGTGGCATGTGGGGGAGATGTAGCATGATCACGTAATCAAGCATGGACTTAAAATATGGAAACACTGCTCCTTGGTGACTCAAGCTCCTCTTCTCTTCCCATACTAGGGAAATGAGATGATGGGTTCTGGATAATTACATTTCAAGTTGGCGGAGGGAAGGGACGGAAATCCCTTATCCCAAAGTAAAGCTGAATTTCAATGTTGGAGATTCTTGAGGTGGGAATTTCACACCAAATGTTGCTGTTCTACATTGGCAGTGAGATAATGTAAAAGAGGTGTACAGAAATAGAGAGACCAAGCTTTTTCCTCTTTCTGTGTTCTTGGCTAATAAGAAAACAGGTATAAAGATTACAGGCATGTCTGAACAAACCATGCTTGGGCCCAGTTCAAGACCCGTTCTCCTTTGAATAGATTGCTCCTTGCGAACATATTTTTTGAAGCACAGATGTCAGACTATAATACTCCCATCTTCTAAATACTTCAGTTCTGTGAATGTGTAGCATTTTCATGATGGAGTGATGCATTTTTTATTCCCCCTTTTCCAAAGTCAGTCTCCTCCCTCCCCCTAGGTCTTTCACACTTTTTTTCTTCCACTTCATCTTGCTAAATCCTTCATTTCTCAGTTTCTTCCGCCACTAATTGCTGCCTCCAAAAATAACACCTTCTAGTGGGTGAATGGAATCTATCACTCAATGAGTATTCAAAAATATACTCATTTTATTATTTTCATTAAGCTTAATTTTCTACTTCAAGCATTTGGTTTGTAACGATTTCTACTGCTGATTGACAAGTATTTTTTATTAAATGAAGACTATTGGGTCAATTTTGACCCCCACATTTAGGGTTTATAAAGCATAAAGATTAACAGAAATATTTCCTTGTTTTTAAATATTCACCTCCAATTCCTAAACAATGCAGTATTGTGTGAATGTGAGGCTGACTAGTTTGTTTCCACTTTGCAAGAGGAGAGAGAGGCAAAATTTAAAACTAAAAGTTTGTATGATTAAAATTTAAAGTAGATTTAATTTTTTTGTTAACAATCTAAGGTGGCCTTTCAACATAGGGAAGAACACTTGGTTAACATAGGATTTTTTTTTAACTCTTTATTAGTAGAACTGTGGAAATAAGTGCAGGTATGTAATTTTATTTTCAGGCCTACAGAACAATCACGTCAGACAAAAAGAGGTACAACGAACGTATTCATGCTATTCAGCAGAGTAATACAGCTGAGTGGAAACCAAAACCCTGGCCACCCCAGTGTAAGTTGTGGTGTTTTTGTTTTGTTTTAGTTTTTACCACGTTTCTTTCAGCACACAAGAATTCTACAAGAAATGGAGTTTATTTCTAGACTAGCCAGTCAGACCTTTACCATACTCTGTCTCTTCCACAGTCGGTAGCTTTTTACTTGCTTTATCAGTTTAAATCATTCTGCTGCCATTTAAAGTGCAGAGAAAAAAAACTTAATGAGAAGACACTGAATCCGGTAGGTACCCAATTAGAAGAAATCCATTTGAAAGGAAATGGTTAATAGATGAACCAGTAATAGCAGATTGGGTGATAGAACTTGATGACTGAAAGCTTAATTAAACTTGACTAAATGAATAACGCTGTCAAAACCAGTTCTGTCCTTTTGTTTGTTTGTGAAGCGAAATTATATCTTTGTCCTGGTCAACAGTTTGGCTCCAGGCCATGCATTAGTGAACACAATTGCTGTACAGTCCAATCTCAGCAGGCTGGGGAGAGGGACATTTGTTTAAGTTTTCAAAATACTGTGTATAAAACCCATTTCTTCCTCTTGCCTTCCCGCCTCCCAAGCATTAGTTTAACGTTAAGATTAACTGACATAATTTAAATTTACTGCCAATTAAATGAACTAGAGGATTACAGAGCTCTGTTAGGTTGAGCAGAGACATCATTAGCTCAAATACTCATGATGGAATCTTCTTGTTCTTTAACATTATTATTGTACAGAAGTTTACAGTCTTTTTTAAATTAATCAGTTAGTCTAATATAGATGGAAAACTATGTTTTTTCCCTGGTGTGTACTTTGCCCATATTTATATGTGCTGTTTCAGATATTGGTCTATTTGTACGTGCCAGAGTTCACACAATGTGTATGGCAACCTAACACTACTAACATAAAAAAAAACAAAGATGGTGGGGAAGGAAATTAGGCTAAAAGTGACCTGAGGGTTTTAAATGCATTAAATGTAGTTTCATTATGAAAAGTAACTGTAAAATGGCATTGTAGGGATCCATATATATATTGCTTCAATTGCCAAATCAAATGGGCTCAGTTCACAAATCAAGAGATGGCACTTAGCTGGTATACGTGATTTTTATGGCTAAAGTTTGCTAAATACGACTGAATACATACAGGGAGCAGATTTCTGGAATAAGAAAGCATCATCTTTAAAGTCCCATTTCAGAACAGAGGCATACTTGAAACTGATTGCTTCTGTAAAGGTTGATTCCCCTCTTAAATTGTACTGGATTGCTATTACTTTTGCGAGGGAAAGTTATATCATACTTCCTTCACTAGTTCTAAAGTTTAAGATTAAAGGATTTTAACACTCCTCTTATAAATGATAAAATATGTATATTTCTTTCCTATTCTTAAACAGCTGGAAATTGTAAGTTTTTAAATTTCCTCTTTAGGTGTTAGGACTTGTTAGTTTAAATACAAAAAGCAAACAAACACTGACTGGCTCTTCCCAAAATGTAAGTCTTTATTTGATAAATGTGTGAGAATTTAAAATACTTCTGTGATGAGACCAAAAAAGATGTTGCCTTTTCCTGACACTTGCCTATGCAGTACAATATTGGGATGGTCTTAGAGTAATCCTATCCTGAAGAGCCTGATATTTGTAGGGAGGGGTAGACAAGTCTACCAGTGGCAAGTAGAACTTCATAAGGTAGTTAATTGGATTCTTTCTCTGAGATTTGATCTTACAAGGTGCTGAGGTTTGTGGCCCTAATCCAGCAGAGCATGCGTGTGCTTAATTTTCAGCTTGAGTGTGATCCCACTGAAGTGAATGGGCCCACTTGCATGCTTAAAGTTAAGCATGTATTTATGTGTTTTGTTGGATTGGGGTCAGAGTACTTTATACCATGTAGGATCAAGCCTTTATTTTGTAACGATCTTCAAGATCCTTTCCCACAGCTTTATATCTGTACTGTATAATACCTAATATCTTTCATCTCCTGGATGTATTTCATAGATTCATAGATTCTAGGACTGGAAGGGACCTCGAGAGGTCATCGAGTCCAGTCCCCTGCCCGCATGATCTTTCACAAAGATCTGATGAAGCAGTAAAGCGACCATCAATGGAGGATGCTCAGATACCTTCTTTTCTATTTTTTGTCAGTTCACCACTATCGACAGCCTTCCAGCGCTCTTCTTTAATGACCGTGCCTGTTAATAAATTAACTTACACTCTGAAACCTCTCTCCAACCTCCTTCCCAGGATCAGACTCCTGACTCTGAATGTCAGCCTTGGGGGTTTTCACTTTTAATTCAACTTTTGAATAGCTGTAACCTCAATTTATAATACAAATCCACCATTGAATCAGCTCTCGCATTTCTACCCTTTCTGTAGCTTTTAAAATTCTTCCTCCCCTTCTGTCCTCCCCCCCCAACCCTCCCCAAATTCTCCTCCCACATCCCCTAAACTGGCTTCTGTTCCCTTCTATCTTAGAATCCCCTAGATTAACATTTTCCATTTTCTCAAAAGCACAAATGTCTTTGCTCCCTCTTATTTTTTTCTTCTATGTGTAGTCCTAATTCTGTATTTAGCATTGTCTCATCATAGAGTAGTGCTACATGGCTTCCCCTCCCTACCTCCACAGAATCAATGCCCACAACTTCTCCACTCCCATCTCCTTTGAGTGCAGTTAGTCATCATACTTATTTTTCACAGTGTTTGTTGTGGAAATAACTAATTAGAGAACTGGTGAACCTGCCACTCAGAAGAACATAAAATTTAATCCTTTAAAGCTAGATGATGCTACAGGTAGTGACTTATTTGAGAAATTTCTGATTTTTTTGGGGATGTTGAGGAACAGTACTAAACAGCGGACAGAGATAAGCATATCCCAGTATACACTCTTAGCATGATACAAATAATAGTTATATTTACTTACTATTATTAATGTAACACAGAGGAGGCAACCATGTGGCTAGAAGGACTGGAATTTACAACCAGGGAATAGATGGTTAGGTTAGAGGGAGAATTTCCTTCACTTTCTACCAGTCATTTGTCTTTCCTTTCCTTAAAGTAACCAATGTCATTTTCCCTGTTAAATGTTTTTTCCACAAAATACTTAATTCTCAGAAGGCACACAGCCCTCCCAAAAATAATTTATACAAAAGAACTATAGCATACAGCAAATAGAAGTGATCAAAAAAGGAAGAAATATCAAATGCTTTTTTCAAGTTCATTTTTAATTTGGTTATTTGAAAACTTCAGAAATTGCAACCAGCTCTAATAACAAACCTTTTAAACTCCTATCAATCTATAAACCAGACTTTAACAAACACAGAATGTAATAGTGGATTTTAAAGTCTCTGGGAGGAGCATGAATAGAAATAGTGGTGGAAAATCTTAGGAAATTATCTTATTGTAAAATGAATGTTTGCCGCAACAGAGTATACTTCATTTTTTATCCTTTGAGTGCATGTATTTGCTTATGTGTCCTCCTTTCTTGTTCTATTGTGTCCCCCTCTTCAAACTTGTTTCTGATCTGCTTTTTAGTGGTAATTTTCTCTTAATTTAACTTTTAATTGTAAAAGCTGATTCAGCCTTTCTAATCATTACTCTACTTTTACACTTTCCAGAATAAAATACAAGGGAAATCTGTCTTTCCAAACCTGAGGATGTAAAATACAAACAAAGGGATAATCCTTCACCATTGCATACCTCGCAGCCTACCTTGGGATGACTTTATGCCTTCTACTGTAAAACTTCACACTTGTGAGACTTAAAAAATACTATCTTTACATTTGCAAGGCCAAACCATATTGAGCTACTGAATATATCCTGTAGAAGGCAACTTTGAGATTTTTAAGGAGCTGGCTGTTTTGAATGAATGCACTTGTATATTTGACTGTCCAATAAAGTGTACTGAATGTTGAGCTTGCCTGATACTCTGGTCTTTGTGTGATAAAGCTTAGTTTGTTGGAAAGATACTAAGGGACACTTAAAGGGACACAGTCAGGTAACTTGATCCTATTTAGTATGAAGGGGTTTTTTTTGTTTTGTTTTTTAACCAATGGAATCCGATTTTGTTTGAGTTTAAACCCAAACAATGCAGCCCTGTGCTAGTGCATGAGAACCAGGGAGTGAAACTGACTGGTCAGTTTCATCACTCCCCCCCCATCTATTCGCATTCTCCTAAGTGAGTGAAATGCAAAAAGTAAGTAAATGGCATATGGCCCTCCCTTTTAATCCAAAGTACTAACATTTTTAAAAACAGGATTATTTTTTTAGCCTGACAATATCTCTTTAAGCTTTTTTATTTTCTCTCTCTGCCTGCCTGCCTGCAACTGTTATACGACTCTTTCCAGTTCCGTTCTTCACCTGGTGAATTTGGTGTGAGGGTTAACTAACAATGAACACGTGGCGCACTGTTTCATTTTGCCAACTTGTGTGATGTTTGTGTGATTTTTATGTGTGTGTGTGTGTGTGTGTGTGTGTGTGTGTGTGTGTGTTCTTTGCATGCCCTCTTGCCTTGGACTGTATTCATTTTAATTTTTTTTTTTTTTTAATCCCACTTGAGTCTGAACTAGTTCATTCTCATGAGACAACACGGGGTTTCACTGCTGCTGAACAATTTTATACACAGAGATGCAGGCAAACCTCAAACAGAGAGAGCTCAGATTTGCAAACAAGAAAATGATCAGTCGTAAGTGGCTGCATGCATCTCCAGTGTCTCTGGATGATCAACTATGGTTTAGTGTTTACAAACTGTTTCTCTATTTTATACACCTAGTTTTTTAATAAGTGTCTTCTGTTTTTTTTGTTTCTGTCCCATATAGAGAGAGAGTGGGCTTTACTTTCCTTAATTATTTATGAATGCCATTACTCTTGAACTGCAACTCTGACATGGTGCTAAACTGCATAAGAGCTTCTAAGCAGGACAGTTAATGTGTTATATTCCATGTTTAGATAACTTCACCAGTGGGTACAGCTGGAATGTGGACTCTGATCCTACTCCCAAAGAAGTCAATATCTGTTTTGCTATTGAGTCCTTCAATGAGATCCAGTTTGGACCCATAAATCTTACATCCCTCTGGCATGGTTTCTGACACACTTTGTGTGTGCGCACTCATTCTATTATTTTCTTTGTTGTCAACCACTTGCTTTAAGCCATATTTTCCTTTCCATTATAGTGACATGGTAGTAAAGCTAAGCTAATGATTGAGAATATGGCTTAATGACATTTTAAACATTATCTGATGCGGGGACTTTGAGTTCCTTGACTTTTATATGGAAAATCTCAACCACAAAATGAACAAATTTTTTTCATTGTAAGTTTAAATAAGATGGTGAAAGCAATTGGTGAACTTGTTTTCCTGTTGCATGCATACACTTTACACTTGCTTTATTGTATTAACTAAATCCTTAAAAGGTGATGAACTGGAGACAGCGGAAGTCACTGAAGCAAGCGAGCAGGCCACAGAGGCACCTACAGAAGAGGCTGAAGCACTAACTGCTGATGAATCTACAGAACAGAATGAGAGGTCTATGGTATCCACAGAAGCTGAAGTGGAAAAAGAATCATCAGTTGCAGATGCATCCTCTGCTGTGGAAGAAGCACAGCATGAAGCCACTGCTAGTTTGGAGGCTGCCCAAGTGCAAGGTTAATTCATTATTATCTTTTTTAAAACAAAAGCAAAGAAAAAAATCTTTTACTACAGGGAGTTCTACACTGTTTGCAACAAATAGTGCACTATTCCTAGTGGAATTAACCTGCAGTGAAAACTAATTCCATCATCCGTTTGACAAATCACGAGCTTTAAGTTAATTGTACTCTCAAGAAGTGTACTACAGTAATCTTTTTTCCTAAAAGCATAGCATCTCTGGCACCAAAGTTGGCGCTTAAGACCATGAGAATGAATGGTCCTTCTATATTCCATGTCTCTTCCACATGTTTTTAAAGTAACACTGGCAAATAGCGTGACAGGAATATACGTGTTAGTGCCCCCTCATAAGGAATTTTTACAGATCCAGACTAACATGGCTATCCCTCTGATACTTAACTGGCAGTTTGATGATCATATTTTACAGTGCAGTAAAAAAAAAAAATCAGAATTAGGTATTTAATACGGCTTTGCTGCAGATGGCAAAAAAGGGTTTGTTGGAGGCTGTTTGTCTAGTTATGTCTCAAGTCTTCTGAAGCTTTTCCCTGTTTGGGACATAGTAGTTTTTCACTTAACATGTTTTTTTTCTTTATCATAAAAGCAGTATAAAAGCAAACCTACAAGTACATTGTTGAAATGCAATTTTTTAAAAATGAGACTTTATTTAAAGACTACACAAATAATCTAAATTGATTTTAGCAACATAAATCTTGTGACTGGGCTGGAAATATAGAGCATCCATTCATCCTGTTCTTCCAGAAAGGAACAGCTAATATCAGTAGGGAGACATAAAGGAATCATGATTTCATGGTGGATAGGAAAGTAACATCCACTTAAATCCAAGGTCTTTTGGAAAAAACAGACATATGCACTTGATCTGCTGTGCAGTGTCTCAGTTCCTGTCTCGAAGGGAAGAATTTTTTTTTAAAGTCTTTAGTGTGAATGTAACGTGGAAGAAAAATACATCGATACAGCTTTCAATATGATTTGAATGTAGTCTAGGAATTTCTTGGGTGGATAGGAGACGTGAGTATTAATGTACTGATCCTGGAACTTACCTTGTACTGTGAGTATGCATGATACCTCTTCAGCCAAACGAGCTAGCATCAGCCTAATGGAATACATTAAAGCAGATTTTAGAGGTTTTTTTAAAAATGACTGCCATGTTGTCAATTGTCAGTTGTGGTGATTTGAAATGGACTTTTAGTAATGACTATGAAAAACCCTCCATAAATTAGGTGTATTGGCTAAGTCTTGCATTCACAATACTGAAGTGACTAGTATAACACCAGAGCTACCTTCAGCCTTGCTATAAGCAGACAACTTCATTTGACCTCGTAAGTTGCATCTGCTTACCCACTTTGGCTCATAGAGCATTTTTTACTGGCAAACAATGCTGAATTTGTGTGTCAACTGCCTATTACTAAATAAACCAGGGAGGTACATTTTGCACAGGATTTCAAATTGCAGACTTCTATACAATCTCTGGATCTGCTTGGATTTTTCTTTCATGTTTAAAAAGAGTTTCTACAGACAACTGTTTGCAAAGCAATCAGTTATGAAGTATATGTATAGAGTAATAAATGTAGTTTAAAACAAAAAAGCAGTCTTCTATTACTCATTCATATTCAATTCAGTGGGGTAGTCAAGCTCTCAAAATAATTGTGTACTGTTAGATATTACCTGTGTCACTGGTGGCTTGTCTTTAAGTTTTTTTTCTCATCTGATGAATATGTCTGCAATGATTTTTACATTCTGCATATGAAGTAGCAAGTTAAGGAAATTATAAAGCAGAATTAAAGAATAGCAGAGAATCTTTCAAAATCTCCATTGCTATACAATCCTAGCAGACAGCTATTCTAATTCCATGGGAAATACAGTCCGACCTGTAATAATGCAGGCAGATTAGAGCTCCAGATGCACAGGGATCAGCAAAATATTTGCACAGCTCTTCTTAGAAGTTGTATAACTTTTTTCTCCCTTTTAGCCAATGCCCTGTCCTGTTGCAGAAAAATTACAGAACTTCTCTTAAGACTCTTCTGCTGTTTCCTTTATCTGGATGCAGTTCATACATTTTCCTGTTTTACCTACCTATGTATAGCTGTAGACATCTTAAATCCTGTGTAATTGCCACTGTACTATAGATGTGGAAGCTAAGATCCAGGTACTTATCTGGGAGGCACTGTTCTCTAGTGAATGTGGCGTGAGATTGGAATTTGATGGTCTAATTGTGGACATAGTAATTTTGGGTTCCTCATGATGTGTTATGAGACCTACTTAAATGTTTAAGTACTATGTAAGTGCAAATTATTATTGAAATTGATCAGAAGTTGATAGTATTCTTGACTTGCAGCCCTATCTTTTTCAAGAGTCTAAAGCGGAACAGTACCAATGACAACCCTGCCTTCCAAATGTTTGATTAAGAGGGACTCTGAGATTTTGTTTAATTTTGAAAAAATGTAATGTTTTTGCAAAGTTTTCAGAACTTGGGGTGTGAAATTGCATGAACCAATCAAACAAAGAAACAACAACAAAAAGCCTTTCACCATTTTCAGCCAGCTCTCTGCTAAACTCTAATTACAGAATATTACATAGCAGAAGGTTTAGCTCACCACCATGTACTTACACTCCCCATGAATAGTGTCATGTTCTCATAGAAGGGTATATCTTGTCCAGTGTAGCAACTGCCTGTCCCCTCTTGAATCTGATACATTATGATCTTTACCTTTATTATAATTTGGCACTGAATGCACCTCTAGAGACCAGTTTTACCTGCATACTGTTAGATAATGCCAAACTCCACTGGTCACTATGTAGAGTCTCAGCCAATATAGCTGAACTATATACTGGATCACAAGCATATTCAGTGGTTAAATATTAGTTTCTTCTTTGAGTACATAACTTGAAATTGTATGAAAACTGCAATTCCCTCTTTCCTGGCAGAAAATACAGAAAGCACTAATTCCTTATTTGAAATGATACAAGGAGAAGGTATTCTAACTCATGTTAACAGCTGTCAATTTCAAACAGATCTCTGATCAAGGACTGGATAATGACGTTATTTTTCAAGCAACTTACCTTCCATAAACAGTTTGCATTTTTTAACATTAATTTTTCTTTTGCTTTATGAAACAAGTTCTGGTAACACCATCCTCTGCAGTGTTTAATGTAGCCTCTTTATTTAAAAACAAACAACTTAGATCTTGACAAGCTTTTGCTGAGTCAGATATAGCAATATTTTCCTTTCAGATGTTTAGGTGTCTTCTACTGATAATGAAAAGGCAGACTTACTAAAATACTTGCATTTGTAAAAATTATTTGTAAGAAGTACCCTTTTCAAAGCTTGTGTTTGGTAGCTCGACATGCCTCCTGCATAGTGTTGCAAGTATTTTTTCTAGGAGGTTAAATACAAACAAACTTTCACTACTTACCATGGGATAAATCAAGTTCTTCGGCCATATAATTGGAAATATAAAGAATCCAGCTGGTGAACATCCATCTTTTATTCCAGGGTGTAAAAAGGGATATTTAAGGGGCTAGATTCAACTGATTATGATAATTACTATTTTACCAAGTAAATCAAAGCTAGTTACTAGTCAGAATTCTTTCCACACCCCCAACGTAACCCTTCACTGGTACCTGTGATACATGGAGATTGGACAGCCAGTCTGTATATTTAACAAGATAACTCTTTGAAATATATTGCTTCTAATTTCACATTGCCAAGTGTTGCTTTCTCTGGCCCAGCCCTGCAAACAGTTCTGGTCACAATGAAGAGCTGATTCTGTTTCATTTAAATCAATGAGAGCAGGATGGGGGCCTTAGTTCCACTGAAGTCAAGAGGAATCTTTTGGGGTCTGGGCCTAACGTTTTAAAGATGCCACGATCGCTGCCTCCTTGTTACTCTTCTGAGACTGAAGGTTACTCTGAACTCCAGTTTTCTGCATAGTAATGGCTGATCATAGAAGGTGAGCGATCAAAGTGCCATATTGTTGTGTGAAACTTGTTAGTATCAGTCTATATTACAGTTCATGCATTAGGTGTTCAGAGGCCATTAAATAAGGTCCATTAGTCCTGGGGTATAGATATTAAACAATGCATGAACTGATAGGACTCCATTTGTACTAAGAGTCTCATTATTTATGAGAGCATTTGGACTGCTTTTATGCAATAAATATTTACTTCCACTCTGGTATTAATAGCACAGGAGCAGAAACATGTTTTGTTAACTCAGAACAGACATTAGTTACTATGTATTTTAGGCTTCGACATACCTACTTCCTTCCCATCATTTATCTGTAGATTCAGAGTCAGATAATTAATGTCGGCACAGCTGCTTGTAGGCATACCCGTTTAGCACCACTTTTATTGACAGATAGTAAAAAGCTCTTCCATATATTTAATGTGATGGTATAAAGAAAAATTATCTAGCACTCTTCATCAGTGGATCTCTAAACTTTATTTTTTTAATCAAAATCCTGATTCTTAAATAGATTGAAAATAAACATAAACTGAAAACCACATAAACAGTGTGCTGGGCTTTAGGATAAGTAGCTAACTAAAAATATACACTTGAGTACTTTCACTGTGAAACAAAACTGCAAAAAGTTGATGAATAAAAAGTATTTTTTCTTATACTTTGTTCTTGGCTGCTGTTGCAGACCTACGTAAGAGCTCTTAACCTGACTTCCTGATCTTGCACGGAATTGTAATCCTGTGTTTCAGGCTTCTCAATTTGTTACCATAGAAATGATTGTGATATCTGTAACTAAGTATTGTTAGGACAGCTCTCAATCTGGGATCAAGTGGGAGGACAAGATTAACTATGGGCTATGGGGTAGGAAATGCTTGAGAGCATACTTCTAAAAATTGGCAAAAATGGCAAAGGTAAACTACAAAAGCTAAATGTTTTAATCTGAATTTACCTGTTAAGATTGAGCAGTCTTATGTTCTTCTTGAAAGGTGACTACCCTAAGAGTTTTAAATATCGTATGGGTTG